CAGCAGCCGGAGACCGAAGCAGAGCTCCCGGCCCAGCCCGGTCAGGAGAGGAGATTAGCGCTGCTGGGAAGAGATGATGGAGGGACGTGGCGCGCCGAGACCGGTGCAGCTGGAGCTGGGCTCACCGTCCATCTGACCGTGTAGGCATCGATGCCACAGTCGCCTAGTTTTTTAACGAGGATGGGGTGAGAGACAGTGTCAAAGGCCTTGCCCTTCTGCTTAGGCTCAGCTCGATGCTGCACCAGGGGAGGAAGGGATTTGATCCCATGGTCAGACTGGTCTGGACTGGGCGTGGGGTTGCCTTCCTCTTGCAGCAGAGGCCTGGGATCTCTTTAGTGTATATTAACACCCTTTGCAGCAGCAGGGTGTTGGCCGCCGCAGGTTTGGGTGCTTTTGGTGGTTTTTTGGCAATACGCCCTGTAGTCGTGCAGAAAGACTGATGGTGTAGTTTTAGGAACGGGTTGGCTAAGCACGAACGGCTCAGCCAGGGGTGATCCTGCCTCAGGCAGGCGTTGGATGAGATGTCAGCTCCAGAAGTCCCTCTCACCCCGCCTTTTCTATGACTCTCTGAGTCCACGATTTTGGGTATCCGACTTGGGGCACCTGTGGATTGATTGTTTCTCTGAGCTGCTGGAATGCAGGAGCCAGGAGACTCTGTAAATGGAGACATGTTTGTATGCAGAAAATATGTACTAAGCTTTTGATGCACTTGAACGAATTTAACTCAGCTGGGTCTAGCACAATTCATCCCCAGGTGCTGAAGTAGCTAGAAGGCAGGGTAGGTTGGCACCTTATCGCCTAACCAAAGTATGTATGTAGGTATGTATGGGAGACGTACATGTACTATACAGCACAAACTTTTGTGGGCTATAGCTCTCTGCTGAAGGAACGGGCAGAAGGGATCTCAGAGCCCTCGCTAATAATATCTGCAAAATCGTGGGAAACAGGTGAGGCTCCAGGCGACTGGATCAGGGCCAACATAGTGGCCCTCTTTAAAAATGGGAAAAATGAGGACCCAGGGAGCTATAGATTGACTAACCTGATTCAATGCCTGGGAAGTTACAAGAGCAAATGATAAAGAAATCAGTTTGTAAATGGCTGGAGGAGGAAAGGCTGACTATTAGCAGCTGATATGAGTCAGGGAGGCATGAGGCCAGAAGGGATCTTGGGGGTGACCTGGGCCAAACCCCTGCACGAATGCAGGCATGTTATTCCCAAGTCACCTGCTGCTTATCCGGAGCAAATCATGCCAGCCCACCATGATCTCCTCCTTTGACACAGAAACAAGTTGGGCGGATGAAGGGAGTGCAGTGGACATCGTGTACTTGGACTTCAATAAGGCTTTTGATAAAGTCCTATATGACATTCTCGTAAGTAAACTGGGGAATAATAGGATCACAGAAAATGAGGGCGGGAAGGGACATCTAGACCAGCCCCAACTACATCACCCCAGCCAAGGCTCTGTCTAGCCGGGGCTTCAAAACCTCCAAGGATGGAGGGTGGGAGCCTGTCCCAGTGCTTCGCCACCCTCCTGGTGGGAAAGTTTTTCCCTATATCCAACCTCAACTTCCCTTGCTGCAGCTTGAGCCCATTGCTCCTTGTCCTGCCATCTGCCCCCACTGAGACCAGCCCAGCTCCGTCCTCTTTGCAGCCCCCTTGCAGGGAGGTGAAGGCTGCAATTCAATCCCCCTCGGTCTTCTCTTCTGCAAACTCAATCAGCCCATTTCCCTCCGCCGCTCCTCACCAGTCCTGTCCCCCAGCCCACAACCATTTTCATTGCCCTCCAGTGGTGATGTTGGCCTAGATAAAATTACTATGTGGATGCATAATTGGTTCAATAACTGAAAGGATCATTATGAATGGATCAATGTCTGAATGGGAGGAGGTTTCAAGTGGGGATCCACAGGGGTCTGCCCTGGCTCTGGTGTTTTTGAACATGTTTATTAATCATTTGGATGCCAGAATAGAGAGCTTTTTGGTCAAGTTTACAGAAACATAAAACAGGGAAAGATTGGTAAAGCCTTGGAGGACAGGAAGCAGATTTAAAAAAAATCTTGATGGAGAAATAGGGGAGAGACAGCGGAAGGAAGTTCGATGCAGACAAATGCAAGGTGCTGCATGGAGAGAGGAGAAACCAAAGAGACCAATACGGGATGGGAGATGACGGCCGCGCTGCCAAGGACCCGGGGTTTTGGTGGAGCATAGACTCAGCAGGAGTCAGCGATGTGATGCAGTCACAGAAAATGTAATTTTGGGGTGCATCAGTAGGGTTTCGAGGTGTGCGACACGGGAGGTGATAATGCCACTCGGTGCTGGTTCACCCTCAGCTGGAATTGTGTGTGTCGTCCCGGACTGCTCCTTTTCAGAAGGATGTGGGGACACAAGAGGGTCCGGGCACGACTGACAATGAAAGAAGGGAGGTGAGGAAGGCAGACTGTAAAAAGAAAGGTCAAGAGAACCGGCCATGCTTAGCTTGGAGAAAAAGAGATGAAGGGGAGACACGGCAGTAGTTTTCAAACATCGGAAAGACTGCCGTAAAGAAGAGGGAGAGCGACCGGTTTCCTTTTCTGCAGAGAGCAGGACATGCAGCTATGGTTTTCAGTTGCAACAAAGGTGATTAATATTAAACCTCAGGAGAAACTTCCTCCGTCAGGCAGCGGAATAGACTGGCCAGGGAAACTGGAACACGTCCTCCTGCGGAGGCTTCCCAGCCCCGGCTGGATAAGCCCTTGATGGGCTGGGTTAGGACTCGCACGGGCCTGCAACTGGAGCAGATGACCTGTGAAGTCCCTTCCAACCCTCCACTTCTGTACGGGCCACGGGGTTACGCTTGGGATGAGTGTGTTATATGATTATTCTACATGAAATACATGAATAGGAAAAGATAAAGCATCTAAGACAGCTGTGTACAGATTAGGATGGGCAAGAGGAAAAGAAAACACTAGAGGATCAAACCTTATTCTTAGCTGTTACTATTATTTAAATAAGATGTCATTAAGTGACAAAAGTCACAAGCTGGGATGATGTAGCTGGGGCTGGTCCTGCTTGGAGCAGGGGGTTGGACCAGATGTGACTTCCTGAGGTCCCTTCAACCCTCGTTGTCTGTGAGTCTAACCTCTTCCTCCTTCTCCCACGGCATGGGAAGGCCCTGCATACTTGAACTGGGAGAAAAGTTGAATCAGGTATTTCTAATTAAATCCTGTTATGTCAAAATGAAAAGTTTCAAACTTCCCATGCAACGCACGCAGGTTGGTGAAGAGCTCTGCCTGTTCTCCTGCTAGCTCACCTGGCAGCCGGCTGCGGCCCTAGGGTTTCCAGGGTCTGATTTCCTGGCCCCAGGACTTTTACACTCGTTGCTGAGGGTCCAGGTTCCCAGCTTCACACTCAGCTCTTGGCTTGAGCCAGGGGTCTCGGGCTCCCAGGCTCCCTGACATGGGGAGCCTCGCCTTCCCCAACACCTGGGCTAGCGCCGGGTCTGTCCAGCTTCCAGGCTCCCTGCTGTGAACCTGGGGGCTTCTCCCACCCCAATTGCATTGAACAGTGACATGCATCTGTCGTGACTCTTCCTATTCCTGC